ACTCAGTCACTCACACAGTCACTCACTCAGTCACTCACACAGTCACTCACACAGTCACTCACACAGTCAGTCACACAGTCACTCACACAGTCACTCACACAGTCACTCACTCACACAGTCACTCACTCACACAGTCACTCACACAGTCACTCACACAGTCACTCACTCAGTCACTCACACAGTCACTCACACAGTCACTCACTCACTCACACAGTCACTCACACAGTCACTCACACAGTCACTCAGTCACTCACACAGTCACTCACACAGTCACTCACTCAGTCACTCACACAGTCACTCACTCAGTCACTCACACAGTCACTCACACAGTCACTCACTCACTCAGTCACTCACTCAGTCACTCACACAGTCACTCACACAGTCACTCACACAGTCAGTCACTCACACAGTCACTCACACAGTCACTCACACAGTCACTCACTCAGTCACTCACACAGTCACTCACACAGTCACACAGTCAGTCACTCACACAGTCACTCACACAGTCACTCACACAGTCACTCACTCAGTCAGTCACTCACACAGTCACTCAGTCAGTCACTCAGTCAGTCACTCACTCACACAGTCACTCACACAGTCACTCACACAGTCACTCACTCACACAGTCACTCACACAGTCACTCACACAGTCACTCACACAGTCACTCACACAGTCACTCACTCAGTCACTCACACAGTCACTCACTCACACAGTCACACACACAGTCACTCAGTCACTCACTCAGTCACTCACTCACACAGTCACACACACAGTCACACAGTCACTCACACAGTCACTCACTCAGTCACTCACACAGTCACTCACACAGTCACTCACACAGTCACTCACTCAGTCACTCACACAGTCACTCACACAGTCACACAGTCAGTCACTCACACAGTCACTCACACAGTCACTCACACAGTCACTCACTCAGTCAGTCACTCACACAGTCACTCAGTCAGTCACTCAGTCAGTCACTCACTCACACAGTCACTCACACAGTCACTCACACAGTCACTCACTCACACAGTCACTCACACAGTCACTCACACAGTCACTCACACAGTCACTCACACAGTCACTCACTCAGTCACTCACACAGTCACTCACTCACACAGTCACACACACAGTCACTCAGTCACTCACTCAGTCACTCACTCACACAGTCACACACACAGTCACACAGTCACTCACACAGTCACTCACTCAGTCACTCACACAGTCACACACACAGTCATACACTCAGTCACTCACACACTCACTCACTCACCAACTCACTCACTCACCCACCCACTCACCCACTCACTCACTCACCCACTTGTTATTGATTTTGTTGATGTTGTTATTGTTGATGTTGTTGTAGCTTGCAGAGTTTCTAAATAAAAGCGTTCCTGCCTGAACACGTGTGGCTCGGAGTGTCTGCCTCTGTGCGCGTGCTGGGAGGAGCGGTGGTGCAGCGGTTGGTGGGTGGGTGAGTGGGTGGGTGAGTGAGTGGGTGAGTGGGTGGGTGAGTGGGTGAGTGAGTGAGTGGGTGGGTGGGTGAGTGAGTGGGTGAGTGGGTGAGTGAGTGAGTGGGTGAGTGGGTGGGTGGGTGGGTGAGTGGGTGGGTGAGTGAGTGGGTGAGTGAGTGAGTGGGTGGGTGGGTGAGTGAGTGGGTGAGTGGGTGAGTGAGTGAGTGGGTGAGTGGGTGGGTGGGTGGGTGAGTGGGTGGGTGAGTGAGTGGGTGAGTGGGTGGGTGAGTGGGTGAGTGAGTGAGTGGGTGGGTGAGTGGGTGAGAGTGTGAGTGAGTGAGTGGGTGAGTGAGTGAGTGGGTGAGTGAGTGAGTGAGTGGGTGAGTGAGTGAGTGAGTGGGTGAGTGAGTGAGTGAGTGGGTGAGGGGGTGGGTGAGTGGGTGGGTGAGTGGGTGAGTGAGTGGGGTGGGTGAGGGGGTGGGTGAGTGAGTGAGTGGGTGAGTGAGTGAGTGAGTGGGTGAGGGGGTGGGTGAGTGGGTGGGTGAGTGGGTGAGTGAGTGGGTGAGTGAGTGAGTGGGTGAGTGAGTGGGTGAGTGGGTGGGTGAGTGGGTGGGTGAGTGGGTGAGTGGGTGGGTGAGTGGGTGAGTGAGTGTGTGAGTGGGTGAGTGGGTGGGTGAGTGGGTGAGTGAGTGGGTGAGTGCCTGAACACGTGTGGCTCGGAGTGTCTGTCTCTGTGCGCGTGCTGGGAGGAGCGGTGGCGCAGCGGTTAGCGCCACCACCGCTCACCACCACTCAGTGACAGCGATTATCTGAACCGCTACCTGGGCCTCCCCTAGGTCGACTCGGCCTCAAGTGAGTAGTAACCAGGCGTAGCGGTGTAGTGCAGTGACCATCGCTGGGGCTGGGGGAGACAAAGGCGGCCGGGCGTGGTGGTGCTGGTGGCCACCCACCCCCTCTGTGTGTAGCCACAGTGCCGGGAGCCTTCATAGACGCTGCTGCTACTAACAGCACTTGCCCCTACAGCCCTGCTAGAGGCTACCTGGGGGATCTTTGTCTTTGCTACTAATAGCCACTTGCCCCTACAGCCCTGCTAGAGGCTACCTGGGAGATCTTTGTCTTTGCTACTAACAGGACTTGCCCCTACAGCCCTGCTAGAGGCTACCTGGGGGATCTTTGTCTTTGCTACTAACAGCACTTGCCCCTACAGCCCTGCTAGAGGCTACCTGGGGGATCTTTGTCTTTGCTACTAACAGCCACTTGCCCCTACAGCCCTGCTAGAGGCTACCTGGGAGATCTTTGTCTTTGCTACTAACAGCACTTGCCCCTACAGCCCTGCTAGAGGCTACCTGGGGGATCTTTGTCTTTGCTACTAACAGCCACTTGCCCCTACAGCCCTGCTAGAGGCTACCTGGGGGAGCTTTGTCATTGCTACTAACAGCACTTGCCCCTACAGCCAGCTAGAGGATACCTGGGGGAGCTTTGTCTTTGTGCTACTCGCGAGCACAAAGACAAAGTGAGGTGGTGAGTGGGTGAGTGAGTTGGTGAGTGAGTGGGTGGGTGAGTGAGTGAGGTGGTGAGTGGGTGGGTGAGGTGGTGAGTGAGTGAGGTGGTGAGTGAGTGAGTGGGGTGGTGAGTGAGTGAGTGGGGTGGTGAGTGAGTGAGTGAGGTGGTGAGTGAGTGAGTGGGGTGGTGAGTGAGTGGGTGGGTGAGTGGGTGAGTGAGTGAGTGATTTGGTGAGTGAGTGAGTGGATGAGTGAATGGATGAGTGAGTGAGTGATTTGGTGAGTGAGTGAGTGAGTGGGTGAGTGAGTGAGTGATTTGGTGAGTGAGTGAGTGGGTGAGTGAGTGAGTGTGTGAGTGAGTGGGTGAGATGGTGAGTGAGTGGATGAGTGAGTGATTGAGTGTGTGAGTGATTGAGTGAGTTGGTGAGTGAGTGAGTGGATGAGTGAATGGATGAGTGAGTGAGTGATTTGGTGAGTGAGTGAGTGAGTGGGTGAGTGAGTGAGTGATTTGGTGAGTGAGTGAGTGGGTGAGTGAGTGAGTGTGTGAGTGAGTGGGTGAGATGGTGAGTGAGTGGATGAGTGAGTGATTGAGTGTGTGAGTGATTGAGTGAGTTGGTGAGTGAGTGAGTGGGTGAGAGGGTGAGTGGGTGAGTGAGTGAGTGGGGGAGGGTGGGGAGATGGGTAGAGAGATAGAGATAGGGAGATGGAGAGAGATAGAGATGGATAGGGAGATGGGGAGAGAGATAGAGATGGATAGGGAGATGGGGAGAGAGATGGAGATGGATAGGGAGATGGGGAGAGAGATGGAGATGGATAGGGAGATGGGGAGAGAGATAGAGATGGATAGGGAGATGGGGAGAGAGATGGAGATGGATAGGGATATGGGGAGAGAGATAGAGATGGATAGGGAGATGGGGAGAGAGATGGAGATGGATAGGGAGATGGGGAGAGAGATAGAGATGGATAGGGAGATGGGGAGAGAGATAGAGAGATGGGGAGTGAGATAGAGAGATAGGGAGATGGGGAGGGAGATAGAGATGGATAGGGAGATGGTGAGAGAGATAGAGATGGATAGGGGGATGGGGAGTGAGATAGAGAGATGGGGAGATGGGGAGTGAGATAGAGAGATAGGGAGATGGGGAGGGAGATAGAGATGGATAGGGAGATGGTGAGTGAGATAGAGATGGATAGGGAGATGGGGAGGGAGATAGAGATGGATAGGGAGATGGGGAGAGAGATAGAGATGGATAGGGAGATGGGTAGAGAGATAGAGATGGATAGGGAGATGGGGAGAGAGATAGAGATGGATAGGGAGATGGAGAGAGATAGAGATGGATAGGGAGATGGGGAGAGAGATAGAGATGGATAGGGAGATGGTGAGTGAGATAGAGATGGATAGGGAGATGGGGAGAGAGATGGAGATGGATAGGGAGATGGGGAGAGAGATAGAGATGGATAGGGAGATGGGGAGAGAGATAGAGATGGATAGGGAGATGGGGAGTGAGATAGAGATGGATAGGGAGATGGGGAGAGAGATAGAGATGGATAGGGAGATGGGGAGAGAGATAGAGATGGATAGGGAGATAGGGAGATAGGAGAGAGATAGAGATGGATAGGGAGATGGAGAGAGAGATAGAGATGGATAGGGAGATGGAGAGAGAGATAGAGATGGATAGGGAGATGGTGAGAGAGATAGAGATGTATAGGGAGATGGGGAGAGAGATAGAGATGGATAGGGAGATGGTGAGAGAGATAGAGATGTATAGGGAGATGGGGAGAGAGATAGAGATGGATAGGGAGATGGGGAGAGAGATGGATAGGGAGATGGAGAGAGAGATGGATAGGGAGATGGGGAGAGAGATAGAGATGGATAGGGAGATGAGGAGAGAGATAGAGATAGGGAGATGGGGAGAGAGAGCGAGGCGAGAGTCGAGTCAGGAAAAATGAGATAAGAGAGAGGGAGGGAGGTGGGGAAATAGGAGAGTGGGTGAGGAGGTGTTGCAGGGAGTGAGGAGGAGGGGGAGGAGGGGGAGGGGGGTGTAGACGAGGGGGAGTAGTAGGGAGAGAGTCTCGGCACCAGCGACTCAGAGAAGCGGCAGAAGGAGGAGAAACGACGTCATCTGAAATGAGCTCAGTGAAGGTAACGAGAGGGTGGTGAGTGGTGGGTGGTGAGTGAGTGGTGAGTGAGTGGTGAGTGAGTGAGTGGGTGAGTGAGTGAGTGGGTGAGTGAGTGAGTGGGTGGTGAGTGAGTGAGTGGGTGAGTGAGTGTGTGGGTGTGTGGGTGAGTGGGTGAGTGAGTGAGTGAGTGGGTGAGTGAGTGGGTGAGTGAGTGGGTGAGTGGGTGAGTGGGTGAGTGAGTGAGTGAGTGGCTGAGTGGGTGAGTGAGTGAGTGAGTGGGTGAGTGAGTGGGTGGGTGAGTGAGTGGGTGGGTGAGTGGGTGAGTGAGTGGGTGAGTGGGTGAGTGAGTGGGTGGGTGAGTGAGTGAGTGAGTGGGTGAGTGGGTGAGTGAGTGAGTGGGTGAGTGAGTGAGTGAGTGGTGAGTGAGTGGTGAGTGTGTGAGTGAGTGTGTGAGTGGGTGAGTGAGTGAGTGGGTGAGTGAGTGGGTGAGTGGTGAGTGAGTGAGTGGGTGAGTGAGTGAGTGAGTGGGTGGTGAGTGAGTGAGTGGGTGAGTGAGTGAGTGGGTGGTGAGTGAGTGAGTGGGTGAGTGAGTGGGTGAGTGAGTGAGTGTGTGAGTGAGTGAGTGGGTGAGTGAGTGCGTGGGTGGGTGGTGAGTGAGTGAGTGGGTGAGTGAGTGAGTGGGTGAGTGTGTGGGTGAGTGGGTGAGTGAGTGATTGGGTGAGTGAGTGAGTGAGAGGGTGGGTGGGTGAGTGAGTGAGTGAGAGGGTGGGTGAGTGGGTGGTGAGTGGGTGGTGAGTGGGTGTGTGAGTGGTGAGTGGGGGTTGAGTGGGTGTGTGAATGAGTGAGTGTGTGAGTGGGTGAGTGAGTGAGTGGGTGAGTGGGTGAGTGAGTGAGTGAGTGTGTGAGTGGGTGAGTGAGTGAGTGGGTGAGTGGGTGAGTGAGTGAGTGGGTGAGTGGGTGAGTGAGTGAGTGGGTGAGTGAGTGAGTGAGAGGGTGAGTGAGTGAGATGGTGAGTGGTTGAGTGGGTGAGTGAGTGAGTGGGTGAGTGAGTGAGTGACTGTTTGAGTGAGTGAGTGAGTGGGTGGGTGAGTGAGTGGTGAGTGAGTGAGTGGGTGAGTGGGTGAGTGGGTGAGTGAGTGGGTGAGTGGGTGGTGAGTGAGTGGGTGAGTGAGTGAGTGGGTGGGTGAGTCACTGAATGAGTGAGTGAGTGGGTGAGTGAGTGAGTGAGTGGGTGAGTGAGTGGGTCGTGAGTGAGTGAGTGGGTGAGTGAGTGAGTGGGGGAGTGAGTGAGTGGGTGGTGAGTGAGTGAGTGGGTAAGTGAGTGAGAGGGTGAGTGAGTGGGTGAGTGAGAGGGTGGTGAGTGAGTGGGTGAGTGGGTGAGTGTGTGGATGAGTGAGTGAGTGGGTGAGTGAGTGAGTGATTGAGTGAGTGAGAGGGTGAGTGAGTGAGAGGGTGAGTGAGAAGGTGAGTGGGTGGTGAGTAGGTGGGTTGGTGAGTGGGTGAGTGGGTGTGTAGGTGAGTGAATGGGTGGGTCAGTAGGTTGGTGAGAGAGTGGGTGGGTGGGTGGGTGAGAGCGTGGGTGAGTATATGGGTGAGTGGGTGAGTGGGTGGATTGGTGAGTGAGTGGGTTGGTGAGTGGGTTGGTGATTGGGTGGGTGAGTGGGTGAGTGATTGGGTGAGTGGGTGGGTGAGTGGGTGGGTGAGTGGGTGGGTGAGTAGGTGGGTGAGTGGGTGAGTGGGTGGGTGAGTGAGTGGGTGAGTGATTGGGTGGATGAGTGGGTGGGTGGGTGAGTGGGTGGGTGAGTGAGTGGGTGAGTGATTGGGTGGATGAGTGGGTGGGTGGGTGGGTGAATGGGTGGGTGAGTGGGTGGTTGAGTTGGTTGGTCAGTGGGTGGGTGAGTGGGTGGGTGGGTTAGTGGGTGGGTTAGTGTGTGGGTGAGTTGGTTGGTGAGTCGGTGGGTTGGTGAGTGGGTGGATTGGTGAGTGGGTTGGTGAATGAGTGGGTGGGTGAGCACTTGCCCCTACAGCTCTGCTAGAGTCTACCTGGGGGATCTTTGTCTTTGCTACTAACAGCACTTGCACCTACCGCCCTGTTAGAGTCTACCTGGGGGATCTTTGACTTTGCTTCTAACAGCACTTGCCCCTACAGCCCTGTTAGAGGCTACCTGGGGGATCTTTGTCTTTGCTACTAACAGCACTTGCCCCTACAGCCCTGCTAGAGGCTACCTGGGGGAGATTTGTCTTTGTGCTACTAACAGCACTTGCCCCTACAGCCCTGTTAGAGTCTACCTGGGGGATCTTTGTCTTTGCTTCTAACAGCACTTGCCCCTACAGCCTTGTTAGAGGCTACCTGGGGGATCTTTGTCTTTGCTTCTAACAGCACTTGCCCCTACAGCCCTGTTAGAGGCTACCTGGGGGATCTTTGTCTTTGCTACTAACAGCACTTGCCCCTACAGCCCTGCTAGAGGCTACCTGGGGGAGATTTGTCTTTGTGCTACTAACAGCACTTGCCCCTACAGCCCTGCTAGAGGCTACCTGGGGGATCTTTTTCTTTGCTACTAACAGCACTTGCCCCTGCAGCCCTGCTAAAGGCTACCTGGGGTATCTTTGTCTTTGCTACTAACAGCACTTGCCCCTACAGCCTGCTAGAGGCTACCTGGGGTATCTTTGTCTTTGCTACTAACAGCACTTGCCCCTACAGCCCTGTTAGTGGCTACCTGGGGGATCTGTGTCTGTGCTACTCATAGCACTTGCCCCTACAGCATGGTAGAAGCTACCTGGGGGATTTTTGTCTTTGTGTTACTCACAGCACTTGCCCCTACAGCACTGCTAGAGGCTACCTGGGGGATCTTTGTCTTTGTGCTACTACTAACAGCACTTGCCCCTACAGCCCTGCTAGAGGCTACCTGGGGGATCTTTGTCTTTGTGCTACTACTAACAGCACTTGCCCCTACAGCCCTGCTAGAGGCTACCTGGGGGATCTTTGTATTTGCTACTAACAGCACTTGCCCCTTCAGCCCTGCTAGAGGCTACCTGGGGGAGCTTTGTCTTTGCTACTAAGAGCACTTGCCCCTACAGCCCTGCTAGAGGCTACCTGGGGGATATTTGTATTTGCTACTAACAGCACTTGCCCCTACAGCCCTGCTAGAGGCTACCTGGGGGATCTTTGTCTTTGCTACTCACAGCACTTGCCCCTACAGCCCTGCTAGAGGCTACCTGGGGGATCTTTGCTACTAACAGCACTTGCCCCTACAGCTCTGCTAGAGGCTACCTGGGGGATCTTTGTCTTTGCTACTAACAGCACTTGCCCCTACAGCCCTGCTAGAGGCTACCTGGGGGACTTTTGTCTTGGCTACTAACAGCACTTGCCCCTACAGCCCTGCTAATGGCTACCTGGGGGACCTTTGTCTTTGCTACTAACAGCACTTGCCCCTACAGCCCTGCTAGTGGCTACCTGGGGGATCTTTGTCTTTGCTACTCACAGCACTTGCCCCTACAGCCCTGCTAGAGGCTACCTGGGGGATCTTTGTCTTTGTGCTACTAACAGCACTTGCCCCTACATCACTGCTCGAGGCTACCTGGGGGATCTTTGTCTTTTTGCTACTACTAACAGCACTTGCCCCTACAGCACTGCTAGAGGCTACCTGGGGAATCTTTGTCTTTGCTACACAAAGCACTTGCCCCTACAGCCATGCTAGAGGCTACCTGGGGGATCTTTGTCTTTGTGCTACTAACAGCACTTGCCCCTACATCACTGCTAGAGGCTACCTGGGGGATCTTTCTCTTTGCTACGCAAAGCACTTGCCGCTACAGCCCTGCTAGAGGCTACCTGAGGATCTTTGAATTAGCTACTAACAGCACTTGCCCCTACAGCCCTGCTAGAGGCTACCTGGGGGATCTTTGTCTTTACTACTAACAGCACTTGCCCCTACAGCCCTTCTAGAGGCTACCTGGGGGATTTTTGTCTTTGCTACTAACAGCACTTGCCCCTACAGCACTGCTAGAGGCTACCTGGGGGAGCTTTGTCCGTGTGTGTGTAGGTGCTGCTACTCGCTACTGACAGCACTTGCCCCTACAGCCTGCCTGAGGCTACCTGGGGGATCTGTGTCTGTGCTACGTGTGTGTATTTTTGGGTGTGTGTGTTCATACCACCCCCCTAATGCTCAAGCGGCGACTTTTTTGGCCGGGACAGATGAGAGGCGTATAAGGGCGTGGCACGGGCTGGTGGGTGAGTGAGTGGGTGGGTGAGTGAGTGGGTGAGTGGGTGTGTGAGTGAGTGGGTGGGTGAGTGGGTGAGTGGGTGAGTGGATGAGTAGGTGGGTGAGTAGGTGGGTGAGTGGGTGAGTGTGTGAGTGAGTGGGTGGGTGAGTGAGTGTGTGAGTGAGTGAGTGGGTGGGTGAGTGGGTAGGTGAGTAGGTGAGTGAGTGGGTGGGTGGGTAGGTGAGTGAGTGAGTGGGTGGGTGAGTGAGTGAGTGAGTGGGTGAGTGAGTGAGTGGGTGGGTGGGTAGGTGAGTGAGTGAGTGGGTGGGTGGGTAGGTGAGTGGGTGAGTGGGTGGGTGGGTGACTGAGTGAGTGGGTGGGTGGGTGAGTGAGTGAGTGAGTGGGTGGGTGGGTGAGTGAGTGGGTGGGTGAGTGGGTGAGTGGGTAGGTGGGTGAGTGGGTGAGTGGGTGTTTGGGTAGGTGAGTGAGTGAGTGGGTGGGTGGGTGAGTGAGTGGGTGAGTGAGTGAGTGGGTGGGTGGGTGAGTGGGTGGGTGAGTGAGTGGGTGAGTGTGTGGGTGGGTAAGTAGGTGGGTGAGTGGGTGGGTGAGTAGGTGGGTGAGTGAGTGGGTGGGTGAGTGAGTGGGTAGGTGAGTGAGTGAGTGGGTGAGTGAGTGGGTGAGTGAGTGGGTGAGTGGGTGGGTGAGTGGGTGAGTAGGTGGGTGAGTGAATGAGTGGGTGGGTAGGTGAGTGGGTGGGTGAGTGAGTGAGTGGGTGAGTAGGTGGGTGAGTGAGTGAGTGGGTGGGTGGGTGAGTGGGTGAGT